GAGTACTTACATAAGTTAAAGAACAAATCGTTAGATGAAACTTTAATTAGATGGTAAAAACGTTTTTATAAACAAACTGTTGAATAATGAACAATAATCAACTGACGTTTAAACCACAATTTAAAAAACAGTTCTGCAAGCCGATTTAATAATTGAAACCGACTAACAATTTGCAAAAAATCTTTCTGCTATTAGTGCTGACTAACTGACTGATTCAAACTAATCTGTCTAACAATTTTAATGCTTTGTAATTACCAACTACTAGATAATATTTGAAGAAAAAAAAAATAAGTTTTACCATGAATCATATACATTAGCAACAACACCTGCAAACGACCAAAAAAGATGACTTAAAAAGGTCTGGTAGTAATAGGTCAAGAATAGCCAAAAACTTCACTTTTCAGCATTGTGCACTATGGTCGTTACAATTTAGACCTTAGGCAATTAGGCGACTATGAGTTTTGCACACCGACTAAAAACTTAAGAAGTTTAGTCATTGCTCATAATGTACTGATCATTTGCGTTTTCATTTTTGCAAAATTTTTTGGTCTTTTGCGAAAAAAGTTTCATTGTTATGAATTTAGTTGCTTCAACAAACATCTGTTCAGTTACAGTGTTAAGATAGAAATTGATGTAGGTATAACAAAAGATTTTGGCGAGTACACGACGGAACATTATTATTTGCGTCGTCTTCAGATTCTTCATCCTTTATACTTTCGTCTTCAGTTTTTAGTTGTAAAACAGGTAAAATACAGCTTTTTCTGAGAATAAGAAAATTTGAAACCATTTTTGCTTATATTCTTTCTGATACTACTAGGTAGCCTAATCTTTGATGTACAAGAATTATTTTTTCAAAATTACGACAGCTTTTCCCGCTAAGGTATTTTTCAACATTGATTTCGACTCATAGCAATCAAAGTTTTTTCTTGGCTTAAACACTGCTCTTCGAGAAAGCTGCGTAAGGTTTATCATTACACTGCCACTGAACGCACACAGTTTATCAAGTATAACAACTTTATATGTCAATCACTGGCACAGCTGACTAACCTATTCTTTTTGCACTTAAAAACCAGGAAACTGGAAAAATAATTAACGTGAATGTTGGGTGGCGTGCAAAGACTATGTTATTGCATTAAAATGTTATTTATTAAAAAAGTTACAGATAATGTTTGTATACAATAGCCTTTGATTTTTGATCTCATTAGTATTCAACATTTTTCTTCATTAATTTGCTTTTGTCTCTGACTTTTGCTGCTCATTAAACATATTATTTTGAAGGAAACGTAGGATGTTTATCTACTCCAAAAATTTAATTATTTCATAAGAACTACATGATTGAAAACCTGCAGAAAAATGTCGCTCTAGGTTTATCATTGCACTGGTACTGAACGCACACAATTTATAAAATATAACAATTTTATTTGCCGCTGATAGCAAACAGACTTACTCGAAACATTGCCTCTAACCCGCTTTAGCAAAAGTTCACTAGCCTCACAGCTGATCTAACGAGTTTCTGCAGAGTTCAGTGATACATAGTAAACTCTGCTTAGAATGATCTTCCCAAATAATCTTTGCAAAAAAAATCCTGATTGTAACACTACACCAGTCTATAACAGAAGACTGAGTTCTTGCTTAGATCTACGGCAGGTTTTCGAAGGTCAGCAACTGACAGTCGCTAAACCCTGTCGCTTTCTATGCAGCCGACAACAGTTTTGATCTGTTCGGCAACGCTGCAACTAATAACACTTATCAGACAGTCAAGCCATTCTTGTTGCTTTTGTACTTCCACGCTGGATCGAACCTTTTGTCGTTTTTTTTACTCTTATCTATTTTGCTGACTTAACGCCTTACAAACAGCTAATAAGTGAGATGCCAGAAATGACAGTACAAAAAAATTTTGTGAGATTTTTTAAAAGTTGTTTTACGTTTTACATTTTCTTTTAAAGCCGTCTTTTTAAGCGAGTGACTGCCAAAATTAAATAAGAAAAAATGTAGTAAACTTAATTCAAAATTCTTTAGTCAACTTTCATTATCTTTTCTATTTAAGCAAAAATAGAGCAATAATTTTTATATAATTCACTTCTGCCTGCCCAACTGGTCTTCTAGGCAACCAAAATTCGCCAAAAACGCTATTCTGTTGATAGTCATATGCAGAACTTTAGCACTTCTTTTACAGTTTAAAAAAAATGGAAACGTAAGAAGCAAGGAGTAATAATTGTAGTAGAAGCATTTCGCAAAAAAATTAAACAACTATCTTCCAAAATAAAAAACTTTAAAAAAAATAAGTTATTGTAAAGAAAAAAATTTTGGGATTAAATAGTCTAACAATTTACTAGTTAACCTTTTACTTTGCATTACTTGATAAAAAATACTGTAAAACAATTGTATTATTTTAAAATTCAGTAGACATAGAATATTCCATTTGCCTATCTTGTTTAAGGAGACTATGAAACTGCTGTAACTATAGAGCTTCAAGCCTATAAATACTTTCCGACTTCAAATGGATAAAACTCGTTAATCGATCCTGTACATTTACCGAATATACTACACAGTATGTATGATATCACCAGTTGACAAAAATACAATTTTGCGGTAAAAAATAAACATCTATATGTCAACTGAGCAAATTTTTTTTATAATATATCAGTACTGTGACGGTTTCAGTTCGTATCGAAACAGCACCAAACTCTATTATTAAAACCTTATTCCGCTGTTAGACGTTCCAAGCATCAAAGTACAACATTAGCATTAAGTGCTTCGATTATACGAATAAAAGCTCGACACTCAACAAAAGAATCTTTTACATAAAGAATTTTTTTTTTTTTT